TATCCATGTACACGTATACCTTTTGATATAATTTCACATACTGTGTTATTTACTTACCTGCCTAATTAAAGATGCATATGTAAATGGTGGTCTAACTTCTGCGTTCTTATAAAATTCTTGGTTCTGCGCAATATCTGCTAAATAAGAATCATTGTCCTATTAATTATCACTTTTTAAAAAGAGGCTGGTCTACAAGAATTGCCTATTACAGTTCTGCATAAGGCAAAAATGGGAGTATCTACCTGAAGAAATGGGCACGTTGTATTTGTCTGAGTACCGCCTGCGGATGGGTCCCACCGTATGCATGCTGGTGGTGGTGATGACGGAGGGGCCTTGGGTGACGGGAGTGATGGGGGCGGTTGGGGTCGTTGGAGTATGAGGTAAGCTCTGTGGAGAAGCCTCAGATGCAGACTTGGAGAGTGTGACACTTGATACCAGATTCAGCTGTGAGGAAAAGAAGAATTCTTAGAAGAGCTTCAGAAAAACAGTGAGTAAGCAGGCATCTGAAATCCAGCAGGAATAATGCAGGGGACACCCGGCTAGTTTTACTTCTGTAAGTAGATGCTTATAATTGACTGAAATAGGAGATGAGTTCTCATGTAAAAACAGTTTACATAGTAGTTAGTTCAAAATCTCTCTGGCCATGTTCTCCTGACTTGTTGGTGACACAGGAGTCTTCCAAAGACAGTGGAAAATGAGTGGAGAATGCAGAAAGGGGTGACCTGGCACAGCGAAGCTTGACAAGATTTGGGTCAAAACATTTCTTGAGTCATGACTTCAAACCCTCCTGGGCTGCCTACTATGCTTGCCAAACCTCAAGGAAGGTGACAGAGTCCTGGTAGCACCAGTGAATACCAACACTGTAGAAGCCATCAGTTGGGATACATTACTCCAGACCTGAGCTCTCCAACAGCACTTTGTCAATTGTGCTAGCCAGTACGGAACTGTTCTTACTTTTTATCAGAGTTAAACTTTTGTTTAAACAGCCACACGTAGTCAGTGACTGCCACGCTGGCCAGCACAGGGCTAGGCTACTTAACCCCATAAAGAAACTTCACCAATGGGAGCCAACAGGGATACTCGGCCTATGACTGCTACTAAAATCAGTGGCACTGGGGCACCTGGGTGGCTCAGTTGGTTGAGCATCCAGCCCTGCATTGGGCTCTGTGCTCAGCGTGGAGTCTGCTGGAGAGTCTCTCTGAGCCCTGCCCACCCCCCCCACCCCGCCTCAAATAAATAAATCTTAAAAAGAGTGGCACTGATCCAGTAAGACGTCATGGGGTTATATCAGTTGGCAAAGACTAATCTCTGAAAGCTTAATGTATAATCTTCATTAAACCAAATAGAGGACTGGACTCTATTTTAAAAAATGACATGAAACACATTGGGAACTGTAAAAATTATTTTTTTCTTCGGGTTTCAAATGCTCAGTAATATAATGGAATTAAGAGAGGAAATGAGTAGTATTTATTTAAAATCATATGAAGGAAAATGAAGGAGTAAGGTTTCCTTCCATTAAACCTTCACCTTGAAGTGCTTCTCTTATTAATACTGAAAAAATGGGCCTGTTCCCCTTACCCTGAATTTGTCCTTCCAGAAATACTAAGTCTGGCTATACTACAGAACTTGGCCATTTACAACATATTATTACAATTTACACAGAATTGGTTATCTCAGATACTTATAGCCGGCCCCAAATCCAAGAAACCTAGGCAAGTAGGTTTATTTGGTAACATGTTCTCAAACCTGATTTTCGATCATTTAACAAAATAAGTATTTCACTATTGCAGTAGCCCTATGGATAAGGCGTTACTTATGGAAGGTATTCAAAATGGGATTCTTCTGGGATCATAAAGAGGACATTAAAAGTTCCAGTTTGTTGAGAAGATTCAACTCTACTCATACTCTAGTAATGAAAAAGGCCATGAGAATGCTTCTCATATGTTTAGGGTAGTTCCATTAAAAATAATAATAAAATAAAAACAAGGAATTCGAAGAAAAGAAAGATCAAATATTGTTAGGTAAATATTAATGGAGAAAATGTAAACATGGTCCTGCAAAGGGGGAATGGTGGATTGAAAGCCTGTAGTTGTGCTTTCCTTTTTAACTCCCCTGGTGAAATGCTGACTCAGTTAATGCCAGACCTTTCCCCCAGCCCCCATGTGGGAGAAAAGCAAGTTCCAGAGAGGACCACCCCCCAGCAAACTGGGCCAATGCTGTGAGTTGCTTTATTATTAGTGCTGGAAACCTGACTTCATGACACCTATTTGAGGACTAAGTGTTTCCAGTTCAGAGTAGCAGCCACGGAATGGAGCAGAACTGAGAAGCCACCGGGAAGGTTGGGGCTGACCTCCTCTTTGCCTTGGGCCTTAATCACTACCAAGTGCAGCAACAGTATGTATAAGCATCAGCCTAAGCAACGGGTCAAGGGAATTAGTGCATGAAAGGCCACTGCTCATAAATATACAGCTTTTAAAACTCAGATGCTGCTAGGCCTAAAAATATCCAAACATTCCAGAAAGGCATGGATACCATTTGTATAAACCATACTGTAAGCCACCTGCCACTGTGTGGTTTCACCTCATTCTCATACCAGGATTAATAAGGGACATGTCACTGCTCACGTTTTACAGATGAGTAAACTGAGGCTCATGATCGATGAAATAACTTGCCTATATTCACCACCAGACACACACTCGTGATCCTAGGCTTTCAGTATAAGCATCTCTTATGCCCAGTTAATGGGAAAAATAATCATTAACCAGTTTCATTTTTCTATAGGCTCATTTTTGGAAAGGATTCACTGAATAGCTTTAGTCCCTACTTATAAATGACATTCAATAAATACTACTGAACAAATATAAGGCACATGAAACCAAAATGACAAAAATAGGGACAGAACATTCGTTCGCTGCCCCTGAAGGTCCTACCATCGAATACAGACACCGGTCAAAGGACATTGTGCGTGACAAACATAAAGCGATTCTGAGGACTAATTCTACTTTTTGGCTTTTCCGTTTAAACACAGTCACCTAAACACCATAACTTTCTTAAACACGTAATGAGAATTATGAATACAACGGCTGCAAGAAACGTGCCGGCTGCTTTCCCATTCTGTGAGGAAGGGGCACCCAGTGCAGTGGACTCGAAAAAAGCCAAAACTCATGTAAACATTCGGCAAGTAACAAATCCATCTGTGGTGCTCACACAGGAGAACAGGCACGTCACGTGGTACTGTGTCATAAAAGGTGAAAAGAATGGGACATCTGTAGCTTTTACTAAAGGTCTTAACACCTGGACTGTGTGTACCGAATGAGCAATAGTGAAAAATAAAATCCCTGCAGGTTAGCACAGCCCGCAAAGAAATACATGGTAGAGTTTTCTGGAGGGTTCTGAACATAGGTAGCAAATGGAAATAAACACGAAGCCAGGGGAGAGCAGAGAGGGGGCTTACCAGGCTTGACAAATGACACCGTGATTCACACCCACTGCTGGGCTGTCTCTAATAAGCCACAGAGGAAGCAGCCAATCTCAGCTAATTACCAGATAAAAATGTATTGTAAGGGTTCTAATTAGGAGACGCGGACGGAGGTGATCTAATGATTAAATGCTGCATTCGAGTGACCCTACCATCAATGTGCAGTGGTGCAAGATGTCACTGGAATATTTTGTAGAAACAGTAATTTTACTTCGAGGAGGGGAGGCAGTAATATTTGTAATGATGGCTGTGAGGTAAACTAATTAAAAGACAGTTCCTACAGGAAGAGGGTGGCTGAGAGCAGCTGTGGCCATTCCACAACCAAGTGCCAAGTCTCAATAGAGGAACGGCAGTCAAGTGGAAAATTTCTGCCTGACCTCTGCCCTTGCTATTAATTTGCAGGAAAACTAATGACACATATACATATTCCCACAAAATTGTTCTAATTGCTAATTTGCCAAAGGAGCCCAGATTCCAAATTAAACATGACTGTAGTCTGTGAGGGAAGGAAGAACAAAAAGCCGTAAACTCCAAACAGAGGGTGCTTCGCCTCTCGGAATCATTTGAAGGCTGAACCAACAAGTTAATGAAATGTCAACCTTGTCAACTGCTATAGAAGTTTGTTAACTTTTAAACTTTTGTTTGATGATCACATGCTTGTCTTGAGGAAAAACCATCTTCAGGGAGGAGGGTCACGAGGGAAAGAAAAGATGGAGCATGGGGAAGGGTTCAAAACAGGCTCTGTGTTCAAACCAAACCTGCTCTTCTAATTAAGGTCTCTCTGAAAACAGTGGATTCAAAAAAAAAAAAGAAAAAAAGAAGAAAGAAAGAAAAAGAAAAAACAGAAAATTAATTACAGACTTAGAACGGAAGAACAGATCGGGACTGGTGTGGGTTTTGCTGTAATCTTGAAATATTCATCTTAATTGTAAACTATTAAATCTTAATATAATCATCAATTAGAAATGAAAGCATATGTGCTTCGTGTTTCTGATTGTAGTTAAGGTTTTAAAAGAGATATATATATATATATATTTATATATTTTTTTTTTTTTTTTTCCCCGGGGCATGGAGCAGGAAGGGATCGGACTGGGAGGGTTTCTTTTCCTATTTTTCTTATTGTGTGTATTTTCTATTTAAAAAGAAGTTGCTATGTTTGGAAAAGTTAGTAACTCTGATATTTTCTACATGGCAAGTTTCCGTCATGTGATGATTTCGGCAAAGATAATCGCTTTGAGGGTCTGGCCAGAAGTTACATTCTTCTATCACTTGAGATTGCTGCAGGGTTTTCTTTTGTAAATCTCCGGGTGCCCTTAACCACCGTCCCCCCCATCCCTACCCCAGCTCACTTCCAGAAAGACTGTCCTGGGGACTGTACCCGTCCCAACTGCTAGGACCCTGTCAGCCGCCTCGGATTCTGCTGAGTCCTTTTGTAAAAGATTAATCTTTAGTTTTTAAACAGTAACCTCCTCTCTTCTTTTAAAGATGATGAGTCACTCACATTTTTAAAAAATAAACAAAGCGCTGATGTAAACCCCGGACAGAAACAGACTTGTCGTAAGTATTCCCATAAGAACTCATTTTTATTTTTGTTTGTGCTCTTGCCTCACATGAAAACAGATTCTGAGAACAAAAGACAAACCTGAAACCCAAACACTGGGGCACCTCGCTGCTTAGTAGGGACTTTGAGGCTCACAGAACTCGTTTTTCTGCTCTTGGCTTCACTGCCCTGAGCGGGCTTGAGGCCTGCTTGAACGGCACACCGTTTCTAGACGTGAATCGGGGGCGTTCAGAGGTGGCCGGCCTTTCTGAGGGGTATCGGGCAGCGAACGGGAACATGGTGGAATGGGGCTGGGGGGTGTGGTGGTGGCTGGGGGGGGGGGCTTCATGAGAAACACTACAGAAAAACAGCTTGTGTGGACTGTGCTAGGGAATCGTTTATGACTGCCTATGATTGTTTCTCTAGGCCTCAAGCAAGGCTGCAAGCAGCCCAAAGGATCAGCCACTGCTTTAAGAGTTAAAAGACCCTTTTTATAGAGGGGGGACACTTTGTTTTTATAGCAGCTAAAAACTATTTCGAAACAGTCCTAATTGCTATGGTTGGAGGAAAAGAGAATGCGTAAAAAGGAAAATGTAATACTGCATTTTGCTTCAAATATCCAAGTTCCTGTAAACGTTTTATAACATTTTCATAAAGAAGGATATACTACCTACGCTATAATTACTTGCCCACCAAATCTGTAGGAATGTGGTTTTTCCAGGATCAGGAGTTGTTTTCTGGTGTGCAGGAATACCCCGAAGCAAGGCGTACCTCTCATGTACTCCGGCATTATAAAATACACTTTATAGGATTTTCCTGACATTATGATAGGGAAGTCTTCTTAAAAAATCCTTAACAGCTTAATAAAGTCATGACACAGACATGCTTCTTTTCGTTGTTATTGTTTTGTCCTCTGAGTTACGCTTCCCTCCAAGGAAATAGCTCAGCAAATTCTCCATGGAGCAAGCATGGGGACACGAACCCCCAGCAATACACTTTGGTGTTTACTTTGAGAATGTTACCGTGTTTGGAACCAAAGAATATCCATCAGTCTCATGAGGATCGTTTACTCCTGTCTGATTTTTTGCTTCTCTTCACACGGAAAGGAGAAGAATCTTTTAAAACTCAAAATATAGTCAATTTGGCCCTTCTCAACGTATGTCAAGAAAGGCTTTTCCCATTGTGCATCCCCAACTGCTAAAATATACAGCTGCTCTGGGAAACTTTTACCTATCTTTTCCATGCAGGGCCCAGTCTTCACAAAATTAAAAGCTTACAAATAAATTCAAAACCAGAAAGCCTTGTTTATCTGACGCTGGCTGGTCCTTTGCTTCCTCTACACTGGTCCTTGTGACATGCCTTCCTCTCCCCACTGCCTTCCTCAGAGACCCACAGACACACGCACCTCCTCTGAACCCAAGGAAAGACTCACAGATCTGACTCCTGTCCATTTCTTCCTTTTCATCTCCGACACCACTTCTCCCAGAATCCCCACTGTAGATCGGCTGTCCTATTGACACATGGCATGATCATGCAATGAGTGTGTGTGGTTGTTTGTCCCTCAAGACTCCACAAAGACCTTAGAGGCAGGGATGGGGCTCTCTTGTTTTATTGCTCTGTGTTTTTAGCAGCATACTTAATACATACTTGTTGATAAAACAGCTTGACTCGAAACACAGGAATTCTGTTTCCAAAAATAATGTGCTGTGTGAGTTGTCCTGGGTATGACTATGGAAGCAAAGGTTTTCTTCGATATGAAGTGTCTGAAGGCAAGTGGAGGGGGAGATGTGCTACTGAAAGTATCCAAAGAACAGTAAGGCTCCCCCACACACGTCCCAGTGTGGGATGAGCTTACAGCTGTGCCTAAACACTCAGGACCGTCCTGAGATGAGCATATTCTCCATCTACCCAAATGGGAAGATGAGTTCTACAATAGGGTCCAAGGAATGTGTCTATGAGCTGATATAAGGACAATCCAAGAAGGTTTTGGCAGTTTGTCTGATGCAATGAAATAGGGACTGGTTGGATGACTGGATACAACAAATGACACTTACCACCCAAATGGCATTTAGTGAAAAGCAACGTTTACAGAAAAGCATTCTATCACTTAGTGACTAAGAATTTTAAAATAAACATGAAGTTCCTTTTAAACAGAAATGGAAAAAAGAAAAAACCTCATCAACTTACTGGCAAGGATATAATGTGAAAGTCCCCATCTATGGTTAGATTTGAATCCTGGTGGCTGCTTATTTCAAATCAAAGATTCTAGAAGGATATACTATGCATTCTATTATTTAAGGTGGAATAAATTAATTACAGGCAAAAAGGAGTATTTTGCACCTTAGAATCGATCATCAGATAGCTCTGTATCCCTAAAGTTGAAAGAATCAAGGGTCTGCTAAATGTGTATGCCTCCCCCCCTTTTTTGGCAAGGAAAGTAAAAATTTATGCAAAACACCACACGTCTACCTTTTATAATTAATTTCCCAATGCCTCACCTATACATATTTTAATAATTTCTGATTTATAAGATGGTATCTATAATAAAATTTTCTATTTTCCAATAAATGAAAAGAAGGTAGGTTCACTCTGGCAACAGAGTGTCACACAATATCTGCTTGTCAGGCACCAATTTTTACTTCTTACATGTAAGTTAAAGGATAAGGAATTTATAATGCTGCCTGTGAAGGGAACCACTTTTCATACACAAATGTGATCTTTTTTTTTTTCAAAGGGTAATACAACAGTACATTTACATAAACTAATCCAAACAATCTATGTATTTGACAATGGCAAACCTCACACAGACGGCCTATTGTTGGTTTACATCTTGGAGTTCTTTATATTGGCTTGTAGCGCTGCTCTAGCTGTCAAAGGTTTGACTTGGACACTAAATAAATGGTTATAGAAGTGCTGTGCAGCGATATTGGACTTCTTTGCAAAAGAAAACCTGCTGTGTATGAATTCAAAAGCTATTAATTTTTCAGTCAAAAATATTCGTGCCTATTTCTTTTAATAAAGAAATACTGTGCTGAGCTACTAAGAGATAATGTTGACTAGTGGTAGAGAATTTTCAATAGAACAGTTAAAAATAAATTTAGTAGGAGGTCCCCTTCAAAGTTATAATTTTCTAGAATGTAAAACATTTTTTTTTTTTTTAATACTAATCAAGACAAACCTTCCTTCCCTGTGCCTTTCCCCCATGACTGCTTTTCCCTGTTTACTGGCTGCTTCACACTGGTCCTCATGGAGATTCCCAATGATCCTTTTGTGGCCTATGTAGGTTTACCTGTATGGCGCTTCCTGCCAACACCTGCCCCATCACTTACTGAGCACCCCATGGGGTCTCACAACTCCACTTTCATACCTCCTCCTCCCAAGGAGCCCCATGATACAACAACATGAGTCCATCCTAGACCAGAGTCTGGAGTCCACACATTATTCTATCCACTGCTTTTAATCCATGGAGGAAGTAGGAGATAATCTCTTTCTCTCTCTCATTACTAGGTTTAAAGACTCAGATTCCTCATCCTGGGAAAAAAAAAAAAAATCCCATCTCAAACAAAGCAGTGTGACCAGAGTTCAGAAGGTAATCGATTCCCCTAGCAATTGGCTGTGCCCACTGGAGAACTCCATCAAGTCATTTCCAGGTCTTACCAACTTGCTTTAGCTGGGCTCCTATTATTCCCAAGGACCCTCCTTAAAAGGAGGGAGGGGCTGATGAAGGCAATACAAACAGCACAGCTGACTACTGTGGATTCACAATATCAAACGGCCTAGGTTTTTGTTTCCCTTTCTTTTTGGTAGCCTACACATTCAGTCCTCTAGCCATTTACTGCAAAACACATGGAAACTAAGGGTTCTTTCCTAGTAAAAATGGATGCGCAAAGTGTTTAATGATTTTATGTCCTATATCTCAGTAATGTGTTCTGTTTCAGACATTAATTTTGTCTGCCAACTGCATCTTGGCAGGCTACCATATTTGCTGGGTTAATAGTCTGACTCCGTTTTATTTCTATCACCATAAATCATACATATATGGGTGTATGTTTGCTTTATTTATAGAAAAAAATCAGTCAAAACAGATAAACCAATACTTTGCCATTACGCTGCATCATTGCATATTGATTAAAATTGCTGGTACTAACTATAGATTGTCAACGCTCAATTAATTTTCACACAGTGACTCCAAGCAAAATCAAATAAAGGCAGTGTACCTTTAAATTTTACAAATCTTAAAAATCAAGAAGCACAGCACTCTCTCCATTTTGAATAATCAGTGGAAGCTACAAGGAGATTTTTAGAAATATAAGTATATGAGAAATACAACTGTTAAAGCGATCAATTTATAGCAAGGAATGAGGCCCAAGACAGGATTTGGGGTTTAGAAACCATCCTTCTGCTTCGATATTAACTGTCTGTGCTTGGATGGCACTCTTCAAGGTTAAGGAAAAGGGAACAAGGCAGGAAGTAGGAGATTCCTAAAAGTTAAATGCAATTTCAGTGAACCGTGTTTGATCTCCCACCTGAAAAAAACGAGTAATATTCACTTCTAACTGTCTAACAACCATTGGATGCCCTCCACAATTTTAGCCTCCAATTATTCCAAGAGTGTGTTTTCTGTTTCTTTCCTCTGTTACAGTTAGACTGGACTAGCCCTCACTCTATTTCTCATACCCGCTGTCTCATGGCTAACCCAGGCTGAAATGCCTTCTTCTTTTGACTCCATGGTCTGTCTTTTGCAGAGCAAAACAGAGCATTTGGAAAGATTTTTTTCTCCCCCTTCCCAGTGACCTATCATAATATATTTTCATACCCTGCTACAGTACCAGTCATCTGTCTCGAAGAGCTAGTTGTTGGGCCTCATGGCTGGGGCTCTGTATCATCCTCTATCTTCTTAAGTGCCCTGCACACTGCTCTCTTCATAAAAGATACCCAGAAACAGTCAACTCAACTCAGATCCTTCAATACTAACAGCTGCCAGAGGAGGCTGTCCTGCCTCCTACACTTGAGGTGG